AAGATCGTCTCTGTATCTATCTAATATTGAAGGAAAATCCAGAAAGTCGCCTTTGCGTCCTATCTGTGCATGATGATTGTAAAACCAGAAAAAAACGCTTCAATATCCTATCTTTTGTGATGATGGTACATCCAGAAAAGAGTCTCTGTGTCCTGTCTTTTTCTGATGCAGGTAAATCCAGAAAAGCGTCTCTGTGACCTATCTGATATTGTAGTTAAGTCCAGAAAAACGCCTCTGCGTCCTATATGTTCCTTATGAAGGTAAATGAACAAAAAACGCCTCTGCGTCCTATATGTTCTTGATGATTGTAAATCCAGAAAAACGCTTCAGTGTCCTATCTTTTCTGATTATGGTACATTCAGAAAGGAGTCTCTGTGTCCTATCTTTTCTGATGATGGTATATTCAGAAAGGAGTCTCTGTGTCCTATCTTTTCTGATGATGGTACATTCGGAAGAGAGTCTCTGTGTTCTATCTTTTCTGATGATGGTACATTCAGAAGGGAGTCTCTGTGTACTATCTTTTCTGATGATGGTACATTCAGAAAAGAGTCTCTGTGTCCTATCTTTTCTGATGATGGTACATTCAGAAAAGAGTCTCTGTGTCCTATCTTTTCTGATGATGGTACATTCAGAAAAGAGTCTCTGTGTCCTATCTTTTCTGATGATGGTACATTCAGAAAAGAGTCTCTGTGTCCTATCTTTTCTGATGATGGTACATTCAGAAAAGAGTCTCTGTGTCCTATCTTTTTTCAGATGCAAGTAAATCCAGAGAAGCGCTTCTACATCCTTTTTGCTGAAGTTGAACGAAATCACGGTAAATCACACACACACATTTGTCGCAACAGAAATTTCTTCAAATGGGACAGTATATAAATGAAATTTACGTAAGGAACAGGGCTGTGTCATCTTACAGGTACATTATCTGTCCTAGACTAATTTTACTGTTAATAAAAAATTTCCAAGGAAATTGTGCTGGAATAAGAAATTCCGATCCTTGAACAATTACTGAAATGATTTGTAAAAAATATTAAAACATTGATGATTGTCTAAATTTCGAAGCATGTAGAATATTGTTAATCTAAAGGTAGTATACTAGTACCTATGTTCAATCCAGGTATATACAAGACAAATGCAGTGAGTGGCGGTACATCGAGAGAATAAACATCTCCTGCTACGTATGCATCAGGCAGTATACGCTTCAAAAGTCAAACACAATAGTTAGAGTCAATGTTCGATAAAACTGGTAGCAGTCAGGTCAGAAAACTGAGAATCGATGTTTTCGAATGGCGCATGACACGTGAATATGACATCCAATAGGTGACTTGTTACTGTCATATATATTCCTTACCAGACAATGATTATATATGAAGTTTCAAATTCGTTACAGTTAACAAGTCAAATATACCAAGCTTATTTAAGTCCAGAAGTAAGAAAGGTAATGAAAGAGGGACGAAAGATACCAGAGGGACAGTCAAACTCATAGATCGAAAACAAACTGACAACGCCATGGCCAAAAATAAAAAGACAGACAAATAATAGTACAGATGACACAACATAGAAAACCAAAGACTAAGCAACACGAACCCCAACAAAAACTGGGGGTGATCTCAGGTGCTCCGGAAGGGTAAGCAGATCCTGCTCCACATGTGGCACCTGTCGTGTTGCTTATGTTATTACAAATCCGGTAAGTCACATTCGTGAAAAGGGAGGGTATTGTAGTTACGACATAAAGGAACATATCCGATATCATCTGTGAAACGGTTTTTCCATAACGGTCAACCAACTCGTGATGGCGTCCGTAAAATTTACGAAGGGATGACTTCCAACTTCACCATTTGGAACTCATGGTTTAATAGCTTCCTTGTGAACAGCAATCCTCTATCAAGGAAATCATGATAAGAAACACAAGCCCGGGAATATCGTATCAATTGGGAGATATATACTCCGTATGCAGGCGCTGCTGGAATGTTGCTACATAGAAATGGAAAGTTCACATTTGGGAAGCTGAAATCATCTCTTTTGTCGTAAAGTTTTGTTTTCAACCGACCCTCATTGTCAATTTCTAGATGTAAGTCAAGATATGAGGCAGACTTAACTGTATCTGTAGTATCCTTTATCTCTAGTTCGATGGGATAGATTCGTTCAACATAGTCACCAAATTTTGTATTATTTAGTGAGAGAACATCATCTATATAGCGGAACGAAGAGTTAAAGGATATTGCTAACTTCTTATCTTTCTTCCTAAGAAGTTCCTGTATGAAGTCAGCCTCATAATAATAAAGAAACAAGTCGGCAAGAAGAGGGTCACTATTGGTTCCCATTGGAATTCCGACAGTCTGTTGAAAAAACACGTCCTCCAAACGTAACAAATATGTTGTCAATCAAGAAATCAAGCATCTTGATAATGTCAGTTTCAGAAAATGTTTTGTTTGAATCAGAGTGAATCTTTACAAAGTAGGATTTATCCCTCCCCAAGACAAGATACTTGTATCTACGTTCGCCATTCTTTTTAATGAAACAAAGTAATACCAACTCTTTTAATTTGTCTTTTAGTTTGGAATGGGAAATACTTGTGTAAAGTGTAGAAAAGTCAAATGTTTTAATACTATTGCAAGATGAGAGAGTCTTAGATTGTATGTACTCTAAAGATCTTTGGAATTTTTTAGTATCAACATCTGATTTACGCCACCTCTAGAATAGGCAGTTTCACAATAACTTTGGAGCCCGGCTTTGATTGCTGATAAAATAGATGTTAATAATTTAGAAAGAGGTTTAGTGGAGCACTTGGAAGACCCAGCAATATACCGTTGTTTGTAAGGACACTTATGTAGTTTAGGTATCCAATGCAGTGATGGAAGATCCAGTTCTTCATCTTTAGTTGAAATTCCAAAGGAACATAGAACAGACCTATGATTATGCAGAATTTCCTCTTTGGTAAGTGTCGTGAGGGTGTATGTTGAGTTTCCAAGTGAATTGTCAATACCTAATTCATTTATCAAGCAGTCTATGTAATGATATTTACACACAAAAACGATGTTGTTTGGGGCTTTATCTGCGGGGACAACAACATATTTTTCATGGAGGTAGGACAAGTGTTTTGCAACATTTGGGTCTTTAAAAATTGACTTAGCGTGGGTATTGATATGCCCATTTAGTTTCTTAATTCGGATTTGTATCAACGACCTCACAGCCTTAATCCATTCGGAAAAGAGTATCTACGTCTTCTTTCTCGCGTTTAGCCCATTGCCTGGCATAATCCTCAACTGAATCCATCAGTACTTTGAAGTTGTATTTCCAATTGATGGATTTAGGCTCACGATATTTCGGACCTTTGGATAACAAATTTCGCAGGGAATTGTTATCGACAATGTTGAGGTCTCCGGTAATAACGTGGCCAGCCGGATTATAAGTGAATTAGGAACTAGCACAGGTGCAATCAGGAGGTTTAGACTTGAAGTCGTCAATGTTGAGATCCATGTTGAAATGTCGTTGATGTTGATAAAAGAATCTGCAGCACAACTATTTAAAGGGGGAATTAAATGATTTTCCAAGTCATGAATAGTTGCTTGTGGTTTTCGCTGTTTTTTACTGATTTTATCCATTAACGAATTTAACGTAGATGATCTATCAAAATCGATTCTATACTCGAGCCAATGAGTATAATCACTTTATTGTTATAAAAGACTGTTCATTTACTTATAAATGTGTTATCTGGATCTTGTTTAATGATGTTGTTGGGGTTGTGTTGTATTAACATATTAATTAATATTTCGGTCTCAATTGACGCGTGAAGAAAATATGGAATTGTAGAGTTTGGTCTTAGGAGCAGTTTCTAATATATAAAAATAAGGAGATGAGGTATAATTTCCAATGAGACAATTATTCACTAAAGTTCAAATAAAGTGGATGTAAGCAATTATAGGCAACCGTACAGCCTTCAACAATGAGAAAAACCCATACCGTATAGTTGGCTATAAACGGCCCCGCCATGAAAAATATGAAACAATTCAACTGAGAAACATAACGGCCTAATTTATAACAAAACAGTTAATGAAAAACAAATATGACAGACATGAACCAACGACAACTACTGAACTACAGGCTCCTGACTTGGGACAGGCACATAAAGAATGTGGCGGGGTTAAACATGTTTGTAAGCCCTCAACCCTACCCCTAACCTGGGCCAGTGGTGTAATAGCACAACATAAGAACAAACTATAAAAATCAGTTGAAAAAGGCTCAACTCATCAGATCGATACAAAGCAGAAAAACATCAAACATAAACACAGACCGGACGTGGCAGGATATTTATCCATCCCTCATCCCTAGCAACAAAAAGGACACTAAGTACAGATCTGAGAGTACTCGCAATTACTGACAGCTTGTATTCTGGCTGATATATTCTAGGCAGCGTTGCCATAGAAGTTAAAGGAAAAGGTTTCCCCGGTTAGAGAGGAAGTAAAGAATCCGATCTACTACAGTCACTACACATACTTGTCTTACATTACACAAATTTAACGTCTTGTTTGATAAATTTATTTGATATCTAGACGAGTCATAAATACAGACTTTAGTTTATAAACTTAAATCAAGTCATTGGTTTTCCATTTTAAATCGCTTGATTTTTTTTTTTAGTTTTTTCTCTTACTAAACGGTATGGTAATTGGTAGTTTTTTCCTACTAAACAGTATGGTATTTGTTTTGTTTTCTTACTAAACCGTATGGTTTTTGGTAGTTTTTTTTTAACTAAACGGTATGGTATTTGGTAGTTTTTGTCACATTTGGCATTGGTTTACTGGCTGGTATAATACATTCAAAATACAAGGATCAAGCAACATGAAACTGTAACTACCAAATGTTAAGATATGGTGGTGAAGACGATTTGGTCATTACGAAATATACTAATACTTTCTTTGTCTATTATACAAATTATACAAATATAAGTAAAAGGCAGTTTTACCATTTCAAAATTCGTCAATAACAGTGAAAAAAGACAATGGTTGTTTTGAATTCTATTTATTTACTTTGAAACTACTCGCATATTCTTATTGGCGTAATTAAGTCCTGATCCTCCGCACACTTGTATTTCTTCTCCTGTGCAAAATGTAGCGTCAGCGGCAAGGTATAAACATGTTAATGCTACTTCCTCAGGTTCTCCCATTCGTCCTAATACCTACAATGGAAATGACATGTAATAAAGACATCGTTGCACTCATTTTGAAAATATACTTTTATATACTTTGTATTCATTATGTAAGCATGTAATCTAGTGTTCAATTATAATTGTAAATACAGTTTAGCTTTAATAAAATAATCATGTTATACTTTTATTTTTTGTATTCAAAAGGACAAATCTTTGACACAATACCCATGCAAATGTTCAATGAGGTTGTGTTTTGACGAGTTTTATTTATATTTTTTGCAGGGGGTGTGTTCCAACTGAAACAATTCCCTGTTATATACAGCATTTAATATAATATAAATATAACATAACAAACGATAAATAGTAACCAAAACTGAACTCTTTGACGTAAGGGAACAATGATTGTCCTCTTTGGCTTTCAAGTCTTCTTTTTCTAAGACCCTTTCTTCTAGTTATAAAGTAACGAAACGTCAGTCGTTCGTTAGTCATGATTATCCCATAAGAGTTGAAACCGGCTTAAGAAACGGTTTTGATTAATATATAGTGAAAATTACAATTGGTGAAGCTAAAATCATCTCATCGAAAATTTTGCTTACCCTTTCGGAGCACCTAAAATCACCCCTCCCCCCTGTTTTGGTGGGGGTAAGTGTTACTCAGTCTTTAGTTTTCTATGTTGTGTTTTGTGTACTGTTGTTTGTCTTTTGGTCGTTTTTATTTTTGCCATGGTATTGTCAGTTATTTTTCGACTTGTGAGTTTGAATATCACTTTGGTAACTTTCGCCTCTCTTTTTTGGTGTACTTATCTTACTTACCTATATATAATGTGTGGAAACTACAACATTTTTTATTTATGTCTATTCATACGGGATATACAAAAATTTGCTACCACAAAGCACGACTGATTTGTTTGTCTAAATTTCATGCGAAATTTTATGAATATTTATAGGCAACAGGAAACATATTGAATAGGACTCTGAAAATCAACGTTTATGCGATTTGCGGAGAACCATTTCAAGATTTGAAAAATGACTTTTATAATAAATTAATCATCTCATTGAACAAACGGATGTCCTGCATTAAAAGTCATTAGAACTGAGGACGGGAGATTATTTACTAAAATAATTTTTTGTGTATGTTAATTCTTAATCTATGTTGTATTTATACATATAACAAAATTATTTGATGAAGTTTATATGGAAATATTTTATTGACGATAAATATATTTGATGGAAAGAAATAATTGTCATAATTCGTTTTGATATGGTTATATTGATTGAGAAATTAATAATCAATACAATAAGCACGATTCAGCTAGAACAACATAGGTTAGGTTAAAATAAATACATTTTCTAGGCTTTTAAGTTAATTCATTTGATAAGCCGTTTCATTTTTTCTTCTTTTCTGAATTGTAGTAAAATACTCTGTAAGAAAATATAACACATACTGAGTGATTTTCGAGTTCTTGCATTCTTGCCTTGGGGTCCGGACTTTGGTTTATAACTTCAACTAGTAATGGTGTTCTTGTAGGACCAGGAGAAACTCTGTACAAATGATTAACAAAATATACTATAACGAAATTATTTGCTGTTTTTAGTAACTTTGAGATTTTTCAGCTTTAGATATTTTATGCTCCCGCTGTAGGCAACAGGGCATTAAGTGTTAACCTTGACCGTCCGCCCATCCGTCTTATCTTCCGTCCGTCCCATTTTCGTTTCCGCACCCTCAGATAAGTTTTTCTCATCCAAATTTTATTAAACTCATACATAAAGCTCAGAACCATAAACGCAGATAGAGTTGGGATTTCGATTCAGAGTCACTTACCGTTCAAGAGTTTTTAACTTTTTAACTTTGAAAATTGCAAAGCTTGAGCGGGGGCACTCGTGTCCCCAGACACATTCTTCTGTTATTATAGTTGTTTTGCTATCAAAACGCCTTTCTTTTGAGGGTTTCTTATTTATGATAATTAACCCAGCAAGGTGTATCGAAACTAATATAGTGTTGTTATTCTGGAAAGTTTAACAGACAACATATTTGTTTAATATCAAGTTAGGGATCGTTTACTTGTATATATTTGAATAAGCATCTTCTCTATGAAAATCCTCTCTTATCAATGCACTAAACAAACGTAAATAAACCTTTTATAATACGGATACTAAAGGGAGGCATACTAAATAACATCGATAAAAACTCTTACCTTGTAACTGTACAATATAATAGTCTCAGTCTCAGTGGACTGTGGAACAATGATAGACAATAATAAAATGCTCCGCAGGGCGCAGCTTGATATGACCGCAGAGGTCGAACCCTGAACAGTTGGGGCAAGTATGGACACAACATTCAAGCTTGATACAGCTTTGCATTTGGATTGTGATTAAATATTTGACACAGCATAGGTTTCTGACACAGAATGAATGTGGTCTAAGAACTTAAAAATTTTAAATTGGACATTCACCTATTATGGTCCAATATCCAAAATCTAAATACATGGTTAGATTCAGCATATCAAAGAACCCCAAGAATTCAATTTTTGATGAAATCAAACAAAGTTTAATTTTGGACCCTTTTGACCTCAATGTGGACAAAGTTGATAACGGGGCCCAAAAATCAAAAATCTAAATACATGGTTAGAATCAGCATATCAAAGAACCCCATATATTCAATTTTTGTTGAAATCATACAAAGTTTAATTTTGGACCCCGATTTGGACCAACTTGAAAACTGGGCCCATAATCAAAAATCTAAATACATGTTTAGATTCAGCATATCAAAGAACCCTAAGAATTCAATTTTTGTTAAAATCAAACTAAGTTTAATTTTGGACCCTTTGGACCTTAATGTAGACCAATTTGAAAACGGAACCAAAAATTAAGAATCTAAATACATGGTTAGATTCGGCATATCAAAGAACCCCAATAATTCAATTTTTGATGAAATCAAACAAAGTTTAATTTTGGACCCTTTGGACCTCAATGTGGACCAATTTAAAAACGGGGCCCAAAATCCAAAAACTAAATACACGGTTAGATTCAGCATATTAAAGAACCCCAAGAATTCAAGAATAAAACCCCATTGAAATTGGTCAAGAAATAAGCAATTTATACGATACTGTGCAATTAAATATTTCTTGCTATTGCGCAATACTGTACAATTGACAATTTCTTGCTATTGTGCAATATTGTGCTATTGGATATTTCTTGCTATTGCGCAATACTGTGCAATTGAAGATTTCTTGCTATTGGCAATACTGTGCAATTGAAGATTTCTTGCTATTGTGCAATACTGTGCAATTGAAAATTTCTTGCTATTGCACAATACTTATTATATAATAATTTACAGCTCCTGTTTGGTGTGTATCTCCTACCATATCATTATTATTTGCTTTTAAATATAAATCAGAAATCACCAACTTAAAATGGAAAATTTTAAAAGAAAAAAAAAGGAAAAAAAGAAAAAAAAGGAAAAAAAAAAATCCCCCCCCCAAAATTTTTTGAACCCCCTTATGATTCATCACCCCCAAACTCAATCCCAGCCTTCCCCTAATGGTATGGTACCTTGCAGTACAATTTCAGAGAGATCCATACACTTGAACACAAGTTATTGTCTGGAAACTAGAAAAATGCTTATTTTTGGCCCCTTTTTGGCCCCCAATTCCTAAACGTTTCGGCAATTACCCCCAAACTCAATTCCAGCTTTCCCTTTGTGATATGGAACCTTGTAGTACAATTTCAGAAAGATCCATACACTTACACACAAGTTATTGTCATGAAATTAGAAAAATGCTTGTTTTTTGCCCCTTTTTTGGGCCCTAATTCCTAAAATTTGGAGGCAATTACCCCCAAAATCAATCCCAGCATTCCTTTTGTGATATGGAACCTTGTGGTACAATGTCAGAGAGATCCATACACTAACACACAAGTTATGTCTGGAAGTTACAAAAATGCTTATTTTTGGCCCCTTTTTGGCCCCCAATTCCTTTACTGTTGGTACCATAACCCCCAAAATCAATCCCAACCTTCCTTTTGTGGTATTGAACCTTGTGGTAAAATTTCATAAAGATCCATTCACTTAAACTAAAGTTAGAGTGCGAAAACCAATGTGTCTTCGGACGACGCCGGACGACGCCAGACGACGACGACGACGACGACGACGCCAACGTCATACCAATATACGACCACAAAATTTTTTTTGCGGTCGTATAAAAATGGGATGCACATAAGCTATGCCTTATGACTGCATCTTTTAAGTACTATAATGGGTTAGTTACTTATGATCGATGTATGCATTTTTTGTAAAACTGAAATTGGTCTTCTTTTCCTGATATCTTTGTTATAATTTACACTGTGCAGGGGCCATGATACTTTTTCAAAAACAATACCAAACCATTAAGGAACTCGTTATTGAATCTTGTAACACAGTTTATGTTAAACGCGGTATATTTAACTTCTTCTAGAGCGTTGAACATTATTTGCCTCAAATAATCTAAGTACCTTTGAGAGTCAGTCCATTATCACTGGCAAACTGTGTATACAACCATTTAATTTAATTTTTTCAAACAGACATTTTCACATTCAATAAAATGTTTTTGCCATAAGTTTGAAATTTGGGATTAAAGCCACTACGAACAGTTTGCAAAATATTTTTTTGTATTAATCAAAAATATATCGTCATACTAAAATAAAAATTGAGAATGGAAATGGGGAATGTGTCAAAGAGACAACAACCCGACCATAGAGCAGACAACAGCCGGTATTTGTTTCTGATGTGACGAACTGTGTCCAGTCCTCTGATTGCAGATTTGTTTCTTATTTTCTTAATATAGACCCCAATGGTGACTGGGGTATAGAAATAAGGTCATTATTGGTCTGCTTCCTTCCGGCAGAAAAAAAAACCCTTGACAAAGAGGGATGTCCGTTTGTCAGTGCGGGATAAATACACATACACTTCCATTTAGAATTTAAATCCGATGCATTGTGTAGCGAGAGTGCAACGCTCTCTGCGCGTTAAGAATACTTGCAAAAAATCTTCAAGGGGTCCGTAGGCTACATTTCTGTCACTATCCAATATAGTCTCATATTCCAGTGGCAGTCCAAATTTCCCGCCCTCCATTCAGGACGACCACTATTGTTTCATAATACTGATATCATGTCCTTTTACGGAATAATAGCTGGATAAATATTTGATTCCAAATTATCTAAACAATCGCAAAAAATCAAAATCTACCTAATATAAAAATCTGAGACATTGTTTTGTGGCATTGTCACCTTTTTCAATTTTCTTTTAAACATGGTCATTTGGAAACATGAAGGTAATAATGGTTTTACTTAGTCTTTTATGAATACTTCTGGGCTATCTTTACATAAATATGATACTTCACCTGTCTTGATATCTTTTAATAACAGTACGGTACCAATTGTAATGCTCCAGATGCACAATTTGACAACTAAAGTTTATTCAGTGATGCTCGAGGCCAAAATATTTGAAAGTCCGAAACCTATAATAATACAAACGTTGAATAGCTGACAAAACTAAAAAGGACCAAAAGTAAAGCCAAACCCAGACAAACCCAGACAAAGAATCTGAGGGAGATACATTCTTTAATCTAAAATGATTTTGAAACTTTATAACTGATAGTTTTAAAAGAAAAATATCTTTATTTTCATGCCAGTACTGAAGTGGCTACTGGGCTGGTGATATCCCCGGGGACTATCAGTCCACCAGCAAAGGTATTTTCTGCTTCTGCCAGATGATGGCCACAATCAACAAACTAATTATCCTGTCATGGCAGTAATAACATTAACGGTACTAACTTTATTGCACCAAGTGTATCTTCAGTGATAAAAATGACAAAGTTAGAGCTATCTAAATACAACACTCCAATGTTACTGAATTGAACTGTTTTGCTACCTTTAATGTGATAAAAGGTCAATTAAAGGCATACAAATAAATAATCTTAAATAGCAATAAGGTAAGGTATATTGTTGATGATTGAATGATGACACTGACCGAGTAAGATATAAATTCGCAAACGAGTAATGAAAGTTAGTGATCATAAGTTTGTAATTTCATCGTTCATAGGCCTAGCGTCCAGTAACAGACGAATCATCACATTTCTGTTTTAATGGAAAACGTAACAACTGTAAAACAAAAATAAGTCGAAGCTTGTATGAAATAACTCACGCGTTTACTCGTACGTTGTATATAGCTTCATCTATAGCAAGTGCTCTTGTCATTGCACTTACTGCACCCTAAAAGAGAAATATTGAAATTTGTACGATGGCATGTATCATATTATGTGATAAAAAAAATTAACATGTGATATATTTCGAACCTATGCTTTATGAATGGTGTGAATGAACTGCACAAAGGACTTAATATCGTGTAAGTAGACACCTGAGCTGTGTATGATTTACCACATTGCCCAAACTTTAATTGACAATTGTTTACATGATCGTATATCTTATGATGTATATTATAATAATTAATGTTGTTCTTACATAGTTAAAACTGTCTGAAGGTTTGTGAGTTAAAGATCAATAAACAGTGTAAAAATCCTTAATTTCTAATTTAACAAGTTCCAAAATGTATACTAAAATTTTATGTTTAGAATTCAATATCTTATTATAAAAAAATTACCAATGCATCACTTGTAATTCCTATAACACTATAATACAATACAATTAAAATTATGACCAACCAAAAAAAAAATAATCAAAACTTGCAAAACTTTATCAACTGCGTAGTAATCATAGTCGTGACTTCGTGAATCGTGAAAAGGGTTTGTACACGCGTAAACTTTTTGAATGCAATGATGCTTACCAATGAAATAAATAAGACTACATACAGCATTGCAACTGGCAATTTGCTAAGTCGTAAAAATATACAGCCTGACACTAACCAGATTCGGTACAAGTGGACATGCATGTAGGTGTCTGGTATTAATTATGCATATGTTTTATCTTTTGCGTGTATATATTTCTACGTAGTATGTTCTACTGGCTTATGCACAGTTCCCTGACTGTTTAATTCAGGTAAACCTTAGTTGTAAGAAATGTAATATCAGTTTCTTTTGTTTTTTTTTTAGTTAAATAATTATACGTTTTCTAAAACTTTCTACTTTTATTTAGTCAATCACTCAATGTATTCTTTATATAATAGAGCTGGAAGTTCGACAAGTTTCATTCAACTATCAGGTATCAAGTATTTGCGATATAATTCCATTCAAGCCATGCAGTGGTTTAATACTTGCATTATTCAAAGGTAAGTCCTGTAAGTAAGTTTGATAAAAGACAGGCAAAAGATATCAAAGGGATATTCAAACTCAACTCGAAAACACACTGACAATGTCATGGCAAAAAAGAAAAAGACGAAAAGACAAATATAAAATTGAGAATTGAAATGGGGAATGTGTCAAAGAGACTACAACCCAACCAAAGAGCAGAAAACAGCCCAAGGCCACCAATGGGTCTTCAACACAGCGAGAAAATCCCGCACCCGGTGGCGGGCTTCAGATGGCCCTTAAACACAATTGTGTACTAGTTCAATGAAAATGGACGTCACACAAAACTCCGAAACATATAAATGAACTAAAATTAAAAAAACCTAAAAGACTTAACAAAGGCCAGAGGCTCCTGACTAGGGACAGGCGCAAAAATGCGGCGGGGTTAAACATGTTTTGTGAGATCTCAACCCTCCACCTATACCTCTAGCCAATGTAGAAAAAACAAACACACAGCAATACGCACAGTAAAACTCAGTTTAAAATTCCGATGTCAGAATAGGTAGCAGAAGCAACTAAGCAAAATGACAATGATACATAAATTAACAAAGGACCACTAAACAGTGCACAAAACACATCAAAGAAAACTATAAAGAATGAGCCACACGAACCCCACCAACACCTGGAGCTGATCTATGTAAACATATAATTACTCTACCACTACGGTTGTGTCTCCCAAGGAAGTGACTTCAGGCAATCTTGCAGGGAATATTTAGGATGTTGTGGATGTTATATTCCCAAGCGTTTTATTGCTTTCTAAGTTTGTGTTCTAGAATGTACCTCACTACCTGGTGCAGTTTGTTATAAACACACGAGTAGTTTGTCTTTCAATCGGCTTCGTACAAAAATATTTGATCTACTTGTAATTTGTTTCTTTGTTTTTGTTTTTGATTCATAATTGTTTTGTGATCTTTTTTTCAACCATACGTAATATTTAAACATAGTTCCATTTATATCACATTGAGATATAAATGATATAGCCTTTACCTTTGTAGCTGCATATGTAATGCCAAATTTCTCAGAATGTTGCCCGGACATACTGGCCATGTTTATTATATTTCCTTCAGTTTTTCTCAGATACGGAAGCGCATACTTGAATAGATAAGATGAATATGATATAATATGAAAAATGAATAAAATGTAAATAAGGACAATACTCGTTATTTACCTAACAAATTATTATCAACAAATAGATTATATAAACGAAGCCAAATTATACAGACACATTCTTTTGAGACGTACAAATGAGAACATTTACTTTATCATGATCGCTGATGATACATGTACCTTTATCAGGTATGTATGGCAAGCCGTTTTACTATTTTTTCAAGATATCTAATAAACTTTATATCTCATATAGTTTATAAGATATCTTATATAGTTTATAAAATATCTTATTATTTATTAGATATCTTTATATAGTTTATAAGATATCTCATATAACTTATAAGATATCTCATATGATTTTCTTTATAAGATATCTTATTAATCATATGAGATATATTATTAACTATATGAGATATCGTATAAACTATCTAAGATATCTTATAAAATATATGACATATCTTAAATAGTAATAAGATATATAAAAATATTTATAAGATATCTTATATTAAAAAAAATATCTATAAGATATCTTATTAATCATATAAGATATCTTATAAAGTTTATAAGATATCTTGTAAAGTATATAAGATATCTTATAAAGTTCATAAGATATCTTATAAAAACTAGATTATATAAGATATCTTATATATCATATGAGATATCTTGAATTTGGAATAAATAGTAAAACGGCTTACCTATGGCATCAAAATATGAAACTGAAGCGTAAACACACCATTGTAGATTCCCTTCAATGAAATTGCGTGATGTGAAATTCTTTACCCGGCCGATGAATATGCCAGTTGTTTTCAATTCGTTTAATGTGTTTTCGCTTTTGAATTTGCCATTTGACAAAGGACTTTCTGTTTGGTATTTTCCTTGGCATTCGGTATTATTATTATTTTACTTTGTAGTTACATCCAGACATATATTATACATGTATATCAGGAGCCTGTTGTTCAGTTGTTGTCATTTGTTGGTGTCGGTCATAAGTGTTTCTCGTTTCTCGTTTTTATATAGATTAGACCGTTGGTTTTCCTGTTTGAATTGTTTTACACTAGTCTTTTTGGGGCCCTTTATAGCTTGCTGTTCCATGTGAGCCAAGGCTCCGTGTTGAAGGCCGTACTTTGACCTATAATTGTTTACTTTTTACACATTGCGACTTGGATGGAAAGTTGTCTCATTGACACTCATACCACATCTTCTTATTTATATATACCTATGGTGATTCAAAACATTTGGATTGTAGCTTGTTAAAAATGCTTCAATAGAACTTAATCTTCTTTTTTCTGATAGAAAATTATTGTTCAGAAGCTTAAAGACCAAACAGCCTATTGTTGATGCGCATCAACTAACGCAACTTGGTAGTGACATAAAAGCTCTACGACGTTGTTTCTAGCCATGAAAAAAAAAACGTCAAATTATAACGTCCTATATCGCGTTTTCCAACATTATACGCTTAAAACTACGTCTTCCAAGAAAAGTGGAATTAAGCGTCGCACTGATACCTAGTGGAAATTAACACAAATGGACACAAAAGATACTACACTATCTGTAACCTCCGTTCTTATAAAAATGAAAATAAACATATAAATTTGGAACTCGGCTTTTTGCATATGCGCCGATCTGCATTTCATTTTTTTTCTTTCACTTGCGCCGATTTTGTCTTTCATTTGCGTCGATTGTGTACAGGTAATTTTTTTATTTATCATATAAACCTCTTCCGTTAGACAGTTATACATATGTTATGAATTGTCAATTATAACATGTATATAACTGTTGTCCCCTGCTCACAAAGGGGAGATGGGAGTAGAATTTCGAGCAGGATAAGTCAATTTAAAAGATATTTGTGCACTCTGTTTACATTCACTAAAATCACGGAGTAAAATTCTATTTACAGCATTTCAAAGCATCACAATAAAATCCATAAAAATGTAATACTAGTACAATGAATTATTATCTTGCCGATAATTTATATGCCACACATCTGATATATTCCTTTCTTGTCATTTTATCTTTTCTATACTTGTTGTACTTGCCAATAACAAAGTCCATCTTTCCTTTCTCGTGTCAAAACGAAATTCTCGAACGATATGACCAAAATTATCTTAAACATAAGGAAACACTATTTATATCCATATATTACCATGCAATATACATTCTAGGTTTACTACATGTACATGTATTTACTCGTATAGCAAATAAAGTATCGGGGAAAGTGATAAAAAAAAAAAAAGGCGCTAATGAAAGAATCAAATCGGCGCAAATTAAAGATCGAAATTTTTTTTAAATCGGCTCAAATCTCGTACGCCCGTGTAACTTTACACTGCTAAAGATATATGACTTACGCTTAGAATTTCAACTTAATATGTGATTTTCAAAACTGAGTTTTCAGAAGGTTAGGCCGATAAACAATACTTTCTAGAAGTTTCGATATGCTGGCAACGTATGCATGTTGAGATTAACTTATTTCTTTAAGATTCTCGTAAAATAATGGTGATCTTGCAATGAAATTAAATATTATCTATACTGCTTAATTGACAAAATCTTATAGTAAAAATAAAAATGATAAAGGTTCATTGTCTTTTGTCATTTGTTTCATTTCAAATTGTCTCAAGGAGAAATGATAAAGATTTCGCCCGATCTCACAGAAGCTTAAGGCAAAAAATATAAGAAATTAATATACTCAGTGAATGTGAATTAAAATAAAAATTTACGATTTTTAAAACTAAACTTGTTGTAAATTTAACTTATGACAAAAACAATTGCTTCAAGAGTAAGATCCAACATAACATTTCTCACTTTCAAAAAGCTACAATGACCGGTAAAAATTGAAAACAAAGTTCGATTTGCAATGCCGGTAATCTATACATACAACCTTGTCTTTGTTTTAATTTCCAAAATGAGCTATTTAGATTCATAATATTTCATCCAGTTTTGAGAAATACTTTACAGTTGTCAACAGAAAATTATTTCTTAGATTCTAAATAAATTTTTGAATTAAAAACTTATTTGTATTTTATATTTACTGTCTCATTTATTCAAAACACGTGAGGTAGTAATAACGGGGATCGTATTTTATGATAAATGGATGTATAACGTTTTAGAATCAAAAACTTTAATTCATATATTATACCTATAATTTTAATTTTCTTATATTCTTAATATTCAGAAATAATGAATCCACAATCTAGATGGAATAATTGGTATACGCTCGTCTTAGTCGGGACACATAATGGTATAAAGAAGTCCGCTTGTCTGTCAACAGAAGCGAAAGAGTGCACTAGGGCAAAGTTCTGAAATTGACGCGACAAAAAAACCCACACATCTAGTCTAATATAGTCAAATAGTCTGTAAGTTAGCCAGTGTCATCTTTCATTTCTCTTTTTATTTTCAATGATTTTGCTAATGAGAGGGAGAGGACAAAAACAGGCTTTCCCTTCTAAAGCGTCGTAAAAGGTTATTTCGAACAATTTTTCATTCCGACGGATGGTGTTTCTGAAGGTTAATTTTGTGCGGCAACAACATCATGAGATCTGATACTGATACATACATGTGATCTCTTGTATTACCGTATAATTAAGTAGGTGAATATAGTTGTTATTCTTGATTCTTGAAAACTTAAATGTGGGTTTCAAACGTCCAATTCGCAATTTTTTTCAAACAGTACGCCAGCAAGGAAAACTTGTACTATGACGTCAGATTCAATGTTCTGAAGAAAGACAACTCTTTTCCTTAAAACGAACGAGAAAAAAAACATGAAAATTAATCATAACTTTTTTGAAAGGTCGGTGACATATACATTTTTTTGCTTTATTTTGAAGAGTACACATGTCACTTTCCTTCTTGAAATTTTTATGAAAAAATCACTGGTAGATATTTTTTAATACTTGAAACGTTTTTCATTCTTGCGTTTTATTTTTTGGCGGGAATGAAATAAATCATATTTTTAAAGATCAAAACAATAAGAGTCTTAAACTCTTGAACCTGTTTTTGATAGACACAAATCTGCTGTTTAACATGAAACAAGAATTATGCTTGTAGGTTTGATATAATGGGATTTTTTGAGAGTTTAAATAACAAGCAAATATCATGTTAATATTCGGGAAAACACGAAACTGAAGTTGCTATAGTGACAAAACTAAGTCGGTGACCCCCAATTTTTTTTATCATATTTGTTTCTCAAATCATGAAATACCTTCACACAAAATTTTAAGGAAAAATCACAGGTAGAACTGAATACGCTGTTTGGTCTTTAAGTGGCCTAATAGGGTTGTCTAAATTGAGTATATGGGAATATTCGTTAAAGTAATAAATATATATATATGTTATCGAAATTAATAAAAATATCCATGTCTTCCGTGATTGTATCTCTGTTTACCTTTGAAGCTCGAAAGTAACCAAGTACATTTAAATCTAACAGCTTTCTGAAATCATCAGACGTAAAATCGTCTATTGCCTGGAATACTGGATCTACAATTGAATAATGATACTTGATTATTTTTGTTTTTCTATTGACTGAAATTAATTTTCTTTCGTTATTTATTTGTACATATTTGATTTTACGACATATGATGGAGATAGGCAAAGCTGGAGGTTGGCTTAGGACCATGTGATCAGTTTCACAAAAAATCTTGACTAAAATTGATCGTACGTATACTGAATCGTTCATGACTTACGATCATTTTTTGTGACACTGATCGCTGGCTCACTGCTCAATAGTAGACTGAAGCAAAGATAATGTCTGGCCAGAATCTTAGGCTATGAAATCCATAACTCCTGTTTTTTTCTGCTTATACTGATATGATACTGAAGCCAAATGTACTTAACCCTTACCATGCTGAGCCCGTCATTTGACGGGATGACCCAGACCACCGTTATTTGGCTCTAATGACTCTCCATACTTTTAGAGGTCAACTTTATGATACTTATTTCGAAATGGATGCATGTTCCCTCAACCTGAGGCTATCTATTGTCATGTTTCTCATGTTTAAGTAGCATTTTGAGCTCAAATACGAACTTGGAAAATTGAAATTGGATAAAACTGGTTTTTCTGGAGGAGTGGGCTTCCCTTCTGTGTCTTACACAGGAAGTTCAGAGGCCTAAAACTTTCAAAAATAGTGTAAACCCGCAGACATATATCTACTGATCATAATTATTTTTGAAATACGCAGAGGAAACGACTACTTCCGGTTTCAGGTCCAGTTGAAGTCCAAAATCGGAAAAAATCGTGAAATTCCGTATTTTTTGTCCAAATGACCTTCTTTAGACTGGTGTTCCCAGATCAGTTTCACCCCAACCTAAGAACTGTTGGGGTTAATGTGTTTACTGGGGTCCACTGTACATGCAGACTACAGATGGATACCTATATCAGCATCCCTCGGTCTTTGGGGTCAAGTAATAGGACGAAAAATCGTCAAAAATGACGCTTTTTGCACCTGATGACCAACTTTGGGGCAAATTCCCGTCCACCCACATCCACAACCACCCCGCCCTGTGATCCCCTACCTTAGATTTAAAGAAATCAATATGCTTCAGCAGCAGGGTAAAGCTCATTTGCATATAATTTGCATATTTTTGCAAATAAACGAAAATTAGACTTTTTCTGAAAACAATTCAGCATGGTAAGTGTTAAGAACAACATGTAAAAATGTTTTGCATCTTCCTTCTCATGTTATCCTACTAATAATAAGTACGTAAATATGTCAAATTGAAATGACAAAATGTCTTGATTTTTAAATTGGATATATATATAAGTGTGCTAATCAACTATCATTTCTGCTTGAAATCAAAATAATGATTGCAAATAGTATGGTGTAAAGATTTTACGAAATATGAATATAGAAATTTTCCAAGCAATTGCCTTTTTGCCTTGATGTTGAACAGCTATTCGAGTACTAGTATATCACATTAATCCGTTTTAGCTTTATATATATAACACATTGTATTCAATATCAAAAGCATAATAAAATTCGGGTAAAATAAATTAAAAAGCTGAAATTGAAAAGTGCAGTGGTACCGGTAAATATAATAGATTACTTACGAGCGCCTGCATTATTTATCAGACAATCTATCTTGCCGTATCTTTTCACTGTTTGTTCTACAAGATTCTGTAAAAGTTAAATGTTGTATATGTCATGTTTACCACTCATGTTTGTACAGGAAGTTATTAGATCAATACTCAGATTGTTTTCATTAAAGTATGGAGAAACTGTGTTAAAATGAGTCCTGAAATCCATCTACACTTTAATGCATGATACAAGACTGAGAACACTCACTCGCGATTTCGTGGTAACACTGAAAACAAAAACTAAATAAACGGACGAGAGTCGTACATTTTGTACATTTCCCCATTAAAAGTCCAAGATCATACTACACTCTGTGTCGGTCCCGCATTAGTGACTTGTGGACTATTTTTCTTAACAGTTACAAAATTAAATTGATGTAGGAAAGATTCAAAAACACATTTCATTATTGCAACAACACAATTGTAGCCTACCTTAATGTCTTCCTCAATACACGCCAGAATACCCATATCTAGCTTTCTAAATGCCTTCAGTACTACACATGTCAGCATACACAAATCTAACTTTCTAAAAGTCTTTCGCACTACACATGCCAGCATACATAATTCTAGCACCATACACAAATCTGGCTTTCTAAATGTTTTCAGCACTACACATGTCAGCATGCACAAATCTAGCTCTCTAAACGTCTTCCGCACTACACATTTCAGAATACATAAATATAGTCAAACCTGCCAACCTCTGAAACCTTCAAAGAGGGAGATCTCCCCTTCAGCTATGACAGCTGAGTGGGAGATTTTGCGCGAACGACATTTTTAAATATATGACCTGTACACTATATACATCTACAAAATATATTGGTACGCTTGCAGACAAATTTTGCTTCAATTTTACTGTCAAATAAAGTTTCAAACACAACTGAGTAAAATGATCAGCAACATTAAATGACAAGTTGTGTTCTGCAACAAAATTAGTCAATAAGGTTTATGCCATTAAAATTTGACTGTCAAATTTATCGTTTGGTTTCTGGCAGAAAAACCCCGTCGATATTGTATTTTTTTAGCCTCCACTGCGTTATTGTGAGACTCGCACTTAGCATGCATTTAAATATCATATAAACCACCAGAAGCATCCGAAAAGTTGACTGAACATAATGTGCGAAATGAAGATTCATATAGCTCACCTTAATGCATTCCTCACTACACATGTCAGCGTACACAAATGTAGCTTACCTGAACATCTTTCTCACCACATATGTCAGCATACACAAATGTAGCTTATCTTAACATCTTCCTTACTTCACATGTCAGCGTACACAAATGTAGCTTACCTTAACATCTTCCTTACTTCACATGTCAGCGTACACAAATGTAGCTTACCTTAACGTCTATTTCAATACACAAGTCAGCGTACACAAATGTAGCTTACCTTAACATCTTTTTCAATACACATGTCAGAATACACAAATGTAGCATACCTTAACATCTTCCTCATTACACATGTCAGCGTACACAAATGCAGCTTCTCCAGGTTCGTTTTTACATAATTCTTTTTCTACAGCTAGACCTTGATTCTCTATGTAAAATATATTCTATGATATGAACTAACAATTACCTTAATAGTGAGTTTGGAAAAAGAAAAACTAAAGATTATTTGATAAAACATGCACTAATTTTGTTTATGATATAATACATTAAGCATGGATATGCTTAGGTGTCCCTTAGAAATGACCGGAAGTTAACTTATTGAAAATATTGTTGTAAAAACAGGACTACAAGACTGTATTGTGTATATGGTATTATCTTTAAATACATGCAAAAGGTGGAATGTATTTTAAAAAACTGAATTGAGAGCAAGAAAAGAATTAGGAAGGAGGGAAAGATGGATAAATTATTTGCTTAAGGCGAAGTATACGTAAATGGGCCGTATCTCTGATTTTCGATAAGCGTCACTGTATTGTTTTATTATATAAGCTGTCTTACATGTAGATGTCATCAATGTTGTCATCTTTAAAAAATTGAGAAAATTTCTGACTGCAAATAGGACAATATAAAACTAAATAAACAAATCTGTAAAATAATTGAGTGTAGCGCACAAAAAAAGACACACATACAGCAACGAATTGAAAAACGGTGTTGTTACCGTTTTATCGATATATATATATATATATATATATATAAAGAAAACTTTAATGTAAAATATTGGTAACTTACCATTGTTAGAGCAAAAAACAACTTTAGCACCATTACGCACTACAATACAAAAAAAATCAATCGTAAAATATCACGAATATGAATCCCCAAAATTCATCAGATGTTTAAATATATTTTTAACGAATTTCTCCTTGTAAGACCACGTAATGGACAAACTATCATAAATAATTACGCCAGTTTTAACAGTACCTAATTTGCCTGCATACATGCTGCATTTCTAATCTATCTATGAGGGTCCTGTCGAATAATAAGCTTGTTTCTCTGTACGTACGTCCGTTCGTGTGTGCTTGCATTCGTCTGTCAAAGATAGTTTCTACTTTTTAAGTTTAAAGTCCTTTGGAGTTTAGTGATATTACTTTTGAAATATATCACCACTACCAGAATGTATGTCGCGTACAAGGAAGACAACTGTACAATGAAATTCAAGGTTAAAAATTAAGTTCAAGTTAGCCATCCTCGTGTTTCAGGGATGAAACTTGGCATGATTATTCACCACTTCTATGAGGTGTGTTGGGTCAATGGAAGAAAAATTTCAATTGGTTATGAAGGTAAAAAAAAATAATTAATGAACATAGACACATCGTACATGTACGTGGAATAACCCTTATTGTATCATACATTACTTAGTAAATATATGCTGAGGACCCGCTGTGAAGACTCAAATCCCTTTCATCTAGTTCATTTTAAACAGTGTTTTAATTGTACTATCAAATTCCTTCAGTTTAAATTGTTGTTTAATTTGTTGACTGAAAAAAAATCATGTATATTCAAGACTATCAAAACTTAATTTATGTAATTTCATGGGTCGCATGTTCTAAATTAATTTTGTTTCGCTTTTTGCAATAACACTTTGAAATTCTCGTATTGTTGCCTGCTGAGAGGATTGATTTCTACCATCGTCGACCAAACTTTGGAGTTTAGTGTGACGTCCATTTTCATTGAACTAGTACACATTTTTGTTTAGCGGCCAGCTGAAGTCCGCCTCCGGGTGCAGGATTTTCTTGCTGTGTTGAAGACCGTTTGGTCGGGTTGTTGTCTCTTTGACGCATTCCCCGTTTCCATTCTCAATTTTATTTTGTTTTCCATTGGCAATTAAATATTCCACTCTTCATCGGTCTTCTATACTATGTGACGGGATTGCTTCCCTGAAATAGTAGATACTTAGTCAGCCGTAAACGGTTGAGCTAGGAAAGTACTTATTAGCTAAATCAGTTAGAGCGCTGCCTTGTAACTCAGAGGTCTCGGGTTTCGATTCCCGGAGGAGACCATGTGGTTTTGTAATGAAAATCATGCTCTCTGGTTACATTAACTGTTAAATGTCTTATCTGAATATGTATCAAATATTTTTATCTGAACACCAATGATTATTTCGATAATTGTTTCAACGTTCCTAAATTCAGGATTTTCTTACCCCCTCCTTTTTGCCACCCATTGTTCTAATAATAATATGTCGAGAATATAAAAGATGTTAAAGCCTATGCAATAAACGTATTTTCACTTTTGGTATTTAGCTATATTTTGCCTCCGAATGACCTTAGATCTACTCTGAATCACCTTTTGACGTCAGGCAACAATCACTTTTTAATTGTGACGTCAAATGTTTTGAATTATGATGTCAAAGTTTACGGGAACCTGTGTGATTTTACGTAATGGCGGACAAATTTGCATACAAGTGTAAATACGTCTATTACATGCAAAGTTTTTTTCCAAACCAACCAATCATTAAAAGGTATATATAAACTATTTAACCAAAGATTTACTAGCAGTAAGCGTTCATAATTCATTATAATGCATACAACGTTTTGCCAAACCAACCAATCATTAAAAGGTATGTAAACTGTTTAACCAAAGATTTACTAGCAGTAAGCGTTCATAATACACCTTATCGCTATTTGTCCGTCACAAACGTTCCCGTAAAATTTTGACGTCATAATAGAAAATATCTGACGCCACAAAGGAAAAGTGATTGTTGTATGACGTCAAAAGTTCAAGCGGGACAGATTCTCGGGTCAAGCGGGACAGCTTTCCAAATAGCGATAAGGTGTATTCATTATACTACGGGAACAATTCAACCTTTGTGTCAAAACTTAAAAACAAAAATAATGATTTTAAAAATAAAAATGGTAATTTACCAAACACTTGTAAACATCCCTTTCCAATGCCACTGGAACCACCGGTAATTATTGTAACTTTGTCTTTATAACGTAACCCTTCTGCCATGTTCGATGTTTAGGTGTAATATTATATCCTGGTTCCCGGTGTCGTATTAAGATAGGCACTGGCTACGGTTACATGGAAATGTAACAATAATAATAAAATTATCATTACATTGGAGACTAATTGCCGGAATACAAGGTTGGGTAAGGATCCGATTAATTATGTAACAATAATATTTGAGTCTACGGTTACATTGCGTTATCGTTACATATTAATTATGCACTTCAATGTAAGCTAGATTTATTAAACTTAAACCTTATAGTTTTGATGCTGAATTGTTTTCGCCAATAAGAACGAAGTTACGATCACATAATATCTGGACTCAGAAAATTAAAGCACTGATTCCACCAGTTTCAACATGTCGGCAAATGTTAACATTACTGAATTGCCTTCACAATATAACATAAACATGATGATGGGGTCATCGCAAGATTAAAAAATATTTTTTCATATTAATCATGACAGACATTGAAAGTTTCTTTAAACTTCAAAAAGGGATAGTGCAAAATGTAATTGTGGAGTATGCAATACAGACGTGCACATTGCTGCATCACTTGTTTGTGATGGCTGCTTTATAGTGGTTTCACTAAAATGCGTGGGACTAAATCATGCTTCGATAAACAACATACGGGATTTGTAGAATTGACATTGTAAATTAAAAAATTAAAAATTGTATGCAATATTGCAAAATTCAAATAAAAGCTTTCAAGTTTTATTTTGCATTGATGTAACAATAACGCAATGTAACCGTAGACTCAATTATTATTGTTACACTCGTAATTAATCGGTTCCTTACCCAACACTGCATTCCGGCAATTAGTCTCCAATGTAACAATAATTATTCTAATCTACTGAAATGTCCACTTAGAGGTCATCTTTTAAAAAATGCCGGAGCAAATAAAATATGTTAGGGATCGACCATTTAACTCCAAAAAAGGAGGAGGTGTTATGTTCTTTTTCCTAATATAATATTCTGATCCCCAATTTGATGAAAAAAAATATTGTGGTCAAGGAAATGACAAAAAAATATTCTGAATCCAGATTTCCCTAATACCTTATATTATTACATTGGTAGCAATGAATTACATTGATTTCCCAGTCAAATAAAAACCGATAATTTCACATGTGAAATAAACGTGGTTATTTCACTCTCTGACGTCATACAACAATAGGCGTTGTCAAGACGTCGATAACGTCGGATCAAAACAAATTGTGAATGCGTAGAAAAAAGATATAGTTCCTTACATTTTCTACATTAATTTCATTAAAAAAAGCCATTTGCCAATGTAATAAAAAGAATAACTAATCAAAGAATTCAAATATCGAAAAATATTCAACTCGTGACCGAACAACACTGATAATTAACTCATGCGCTACGCGCATTCGTGAATTAATGTGTTGTTCGGTCACTCGTTGAATATTTTTCTCTATTTGAATTCTTCGATTAGTTATTCTATAAGTGTTAAATTTTGAAAATAATAATTTGATTATTAGCGTCGAAAAACTAAAAAAAAATGTTCGTGCTTTGCGCAAAAAAAATTTCTGACTCAGACAAAAAAATCATAATCAACCTTTGAAGTTAAATGGTTGCTCCCTTACGAGCATCTATTTCTTAAAAAACATGAATAGTAAGTATGGACTAATGTCAGATAGTTATCTATCAAAATTAGCTACCTTACTATAGACAGTCTTAGATACGGCTCTCAGATAGTAATCTATGAAAATTAGCTACCTTTCTGTAGACAGTCTTAGATACGGCTCTCAGATAGTAATCTATGAAAATTAGCTACCTTTCTGTAGACAGTCTTAGATGCGGCTCTCAAATAGTTATCTATGAAAATTAGCTATCTTATTATAGACGGTCTTAGATGCGGCTCTCAGATAGTCACCTATGAAAATTAGCTACCTTATTATAGACAGTATTAGATGCGGCTCTCAGATAGTAACTTTTGAAACTATGAAATTAAGCTACCTTACTGTAGACAGTCTTAGACGCGGCTCTCAGATAGTAATCTATGAAAATAAGCTACCTTACTATAGGCAGTCTTAGATGTTGCTCTCAGATGGTTATCTATGAAAATTAGCTACCTTACTATAGACGGTCTTTGATGCTGCTCTCAGATAGTAATCTATGAAAATTAGCTACCTTACTATAGGCAGTCTTAGATGCTGCTCTCAGATTGTTATCTATGAAAATTAGCTATCTTATTATAGACGGTCTTAAATGCGGCTCTCAGATAGTCACCTATGAAAATTAGCTACCTTACTATAGACAGTCTTAGATGCTGCTCTCGGATAGTAAAATATGAAAATAAGCTACCTTACTGTAGACAGTCTTAGATACGGCTCTCGGATAGTCACCTATGAAAATTAGCTATCTTATTATAGACGGTCTTAAATGCGGCTCTCAGATAGTCACCTATAAAAATTAGCTACCTTACTGTAGACAGTCTTAGATACGGCTCTCGGATAGTAATCTATGAAAATAAGCTACCTTACTGTAGACAGTCTTAGATACGACTCTCAGATAGTAATCTATGAAAATTAGCTACCTTACTGTAGACAGTCTTAGATGCTGCTCTCAGATAGTAATCTATGAAAATTAGCTACCTTACTATAGACGGTCTTTGATGCTGCTCTCAGATAGTAATCTATGAAAATTAGCTACCTTACTATAGGCAGTCTTAGATGCTGCTCTCAGATTGTTATCTATGAAAATTAGCTATCTTATTATAGACGGTCTTAAATGCGGCTCTCAGATAGTCACCTATGAAAATTAGCTACCTTACTATAGACAGTCTTAGATGCTGCTCTCGGATAGTAAACTATGAAAATAAGCTACCTTACTGTAGACAGTCTTAGATACGGCTCTCGGATAGTCACCTATGAAAATTAGCTACTTTATTATAGACGGTCTTAAATGCGGCTCTCAGATAGTCACCTATAAAAATTAACTACCTTACTGTAGACAGTCTTAGATACGGCTCTCGGATAGTAATCTATGAAAATAAGCTACCTTACTGTAGACAGTCTTAGATACGGCTCTCAGATAGTAATCTATGAAAATTAGCTACCTTTCTGTAGACAGTCTTTGATGCTGCTCTCAGATAGTTATCTATGAAAATTAGCTACCTTACTGTAGACAGTCTTAGACGCGGCTCTCAGATAGTAATCTATGAAAATTAGCTACCTTACTATAGGCAGTCTTAGATGCTGCTCTCAGATTGTTATCTAGGAACATTAGCTACCTTATGTAGACAGTCTTGGATGCGGCTCTCAGATAGTAATATATGAAAATTAACTACCTTACTATAGACGGTCTTTGATGCTGCTCTCAGATGGTAATCTATGAAAATTAGCTACCTTACTATAGGCAGTCTTAGATGCTGCTCTCAGATTGTTATCTATGAAAATTAGCTATCTTATTATAGACGGTCTTAAATGCGGCTCTCAGATAGTCACCTATGAAAATTAGCTACCTTACTATAGACAGTCTTAGATGCTGCTCTCGGATAGTAATATATGACAATTGGCTACCTTACTGTAGACAGTCTTAGATGCTGCTCTCAGATAGTAATCTATGACAATTAGCTACCTTACTGTAGACAGTCTTAGATGAGGCTCTCAGATAGCTATCTATGAAAATAAGCTACCTTACTGTAGACAGTCTTAGATACGGCTCTCAGATAGTAATCTATGAAAATTAGCTACCTTACTATAGACGGTCCTATAAGCGGCTCCAAGATAGTAATCTATGACAATTAGCTACCTTACTGTAGACAGTCTTAGATGAGGCTCTCAGATAGTAATCTATGAAAATAAGACACCTTACTATAGACAGTCTTAGATGCGGCTCTCAGATAGTAATCTATGACAATTAGCTACCTTACTGTAGACAGTCTTAGATGAGGCTCTCAGATAGTAATCTATGAAAATAAGACACCTTACTATAGACAGTCTTAGATGCGGCTCTCAGATAGTGCATTCACCGCTTCATTGATTTCTGATGTAAACAAAACAGACAATTGCTGATGAACAGCTGATTAGAAGAATAGAAAACAAACAAGGTGAGTAATATGGTTGCGTTTGTGCAAGGAAGCAAACACCAAGCATCACGGTTTAGTTATGGGCAAGGCTTTCAGTGCACTATAGTTTGTTTAATGTCAATACTGACCCCTCTAGCTGGGCGTCTACGACGATAGATGAAATTAAAAAAGGCAGCAATGAGCAATTTGAATTAATATGCCTGAAAACCCAAGATACTTGCAACACAGAGAGGTCCCAAATGATGTTCGCATGTGCACCCCAGGCGGATCCAAAAAAGGGGGGGGGGGGGGGGCTGGGGCCGCCCCTCCCCTTGGTTGATTAGGCCCCCCTTTATGAAAAGTTCTGGATCTGCCACTGTACACAGTGGCGCTCAGCAGTCATTGTTAATTGATATATCAACAGCAATGAGAACTGCATATGACAAATGTTTGATATAGATAAATCCAATATTCTAATTTGTTCACATTACCATGATTACAATGTACAATGTATCAGGTCTTACAATAAGTATATTTCGTCATGATAATAATTACTATTTGCTTTGATTCACATGCTCGAGATAATCAAGGTTTCCCATTTTCAGATGGTGCTGCTATTTTGCTAACCTTTTCAAATCTGAATGAGCTGATACTATATGTATAATCATCAATATACAATGGTGCTGAGTTTAATCTATCGGCTGTATTTGTATAAGTACAATGTATTTGTAATATGTGATATTGGCAGATCGAACTGCTGTAAAGGCTCTAGTTTATGACTTGGATGCGTTAACTATGATTGTGGTTGATAAGGAAATCCAGATCCAGGATGTTAATCCTAAACCGAACAGGTATTTTACGTATATATATTAGAATTCATCCTCCTGAACACAGTACCCATATATAATAACCATACACCTAATCACTTTATGGAATTCTGTCCCAGCTGACATGAGAATCTGTCCCACTTCAACCATTGACATCATACTACAATCACTTTTCAATTAAGGCGTCAGATATTTTGTATTATGACGTCAACATTTTACGTGAACCTTTGCAATTG